ATAGTGGCGTTAGATGTGGCCTAGTGGCGTTAGATGTGGCCTAGTGGCGTTAGATGTGGCCTAGTGACGTTAGATGTGGCCTAGTGGTGTTAGATGTGGCCTAGTGGTGTTAGATGTGGCCTAGTGACGTTAAATGTGGCCAGTGTCGTTAGATGTGGCCTGGTGGCGTTAGATGTGGCCTAATGACGTTAGATGTGGCCTAGTGACGTTAGATGTGGTCTAGTGGCGTTAGATGTGGCCTAGTGGCGTTGGATGTGGCGTAGTGGTGTTAGATGTGGCGCAGTGGCGCTGAATGTGGCGCAGTGGCGCTGAATGTGGCCTAGTGACGTTAGATATGGCTTAGTGGCGTTAGATGTGGCCTGGTGGCGTTAGATGTGGCTTAGTGGCGTTGGATGTAGCCTGGTGGCGTTGAATGTAGCCTGGTGGCGTTAGATATGGCCTAGTGGCGTTAGATGTGGCCTAGTGGCGTTAGATGTGGCCTAGTGACGTTGGATGTGATCAACTGACGATGGACATGAAATGTTATGAGATCGAATGGCGGCCATTCAATCATCTTGGCCGCTTTTAGGTCTTCAAGATAAGAAGTGTAGAATTGATTCGGTAAACACGAAGCCTGATTACCTCAGGTTCTGTACCCTTCGAGTGTAAACTAACACACCATGCGTTAGTCTAAATACAGTTTAAGTCGATTCGCGTACTACTTTTCTTGTTTTTACACCCAAACACAAAAAAAAATCTTCTAATAATGTTAGAATTAAGTTATACCAGAATGGATGGTAGAAGATTAAGTCAATTCGCGCACCACTACCCTTGTCTTTGCACTGAAATAAAAATAATAAATTTTACAAAAAAGTACCGTAATATTTAAATAATACCAGAATGGATGATAGAAGACATGATATACAAGTTATAGGACGTAAACTAAAAGACTAGGGACACTCGTCTCAAGCTTATGACAGTTTACTAATATTATCAAAATTTGATAAGCACCACATAACATTACGCGCATGGCAGAACATCATCAGGGCCTATACTTTCAAAAAAAGTTACGAGATCGTAAGTTCATCCGCCAATCATTGACGGGCTTTCAAGCAAAATCCACCAATCATAGACAAGAAAATCGAGCGTAAGTACTTACGTTCACTTAGCGAGTTTTGAAAGTATGGCCCCAGGTTCCGAGTGATAAGTGCGATATATTTATATTTGTTTCAGTGCATTTGATTTCGTTAGATTTGATTCAACGTTTTGATAACCGCACTTTGATTTAATTATTCTATAAACTTACACCTTAATATCAAACACGTGCTTTAGATCACTCACAAAGAAGATTTTCAAGATAATAATTTTTCTTGCATCCACTTAATGACTAAATTGCTTCAAAGCTTAGCAGAAATGCAATTAAAGCAGAAAATGTTCCTTACAAATGTGAGATTCTGTCTACAATTTACACATCTCATGAAATTGCGAACAAATAGCATTTCTTCCTGCACGATCAATTCACCATTCTTGTACGAACGGCTTTATAATAAATGAACGCATTTGTCAAATTAAGGTCTTACAGATGCTCTTAAATAGCACGTACCCAGAGTTCATTTAAAAACATCAATCCAAGGCTATGCTACAAGCACCACCCTTGACGGCTACTAAGATTCACCGAGAAATTAACTGAGCTTCTCGAGGCTCGAACCCACGACTAGCTCCTTTCATCTCGGTGCAGTTAACACTGCGCTACAGTGGCGTAAACCACTGCGCTACAGTGTTGCTAGCCACTGCGCTCCAGTGGCGCCAACCACTGCGCTCCAGTGGCGCCAACCACTGCGCTACAGTGTTTGATAGTAATGAATAATTGAAAGGTATAACAACAGAACAATTAAGAATATCAAACACCACCCAATATACAGTCAGGAAACCCCGGATGCAGGTCGCCCTGTGTAATGTTATTATCAGTGAGTTGATATTAATGAATAATTGAAAGGTAGTCGCCCTGATTAATGTCATTATCACTGATTTGATATTAATGAATGATTGAAAGGTATTTAAATAGAACAATTAAGCAAAATAAACATCACCCAATATACACTCAGGAATCCCCGGATGCAGGTCGCCCTGGGTAACGTCATTATCAGTGAGTTGAAATAAATGAATAATTGAAAGGTATAACAATAGAACAATTAAGCAAAATAAACATCCTCCAATATACACTCAGGAATCCCCGGATGCAGGTCGCCCTGGATAATGTCATTATCAGTGAGCTGATAATAATGAATAATTGAAAGGTATAACAATAGAACAATTAAGCAAATTAAACATCAACCAATAAACACTCAGGAATCCCCGGATGCAGGTAGCCCTGTGTAATGTTATTATCAGTCATTTGATAGTAATGAATAATTAAAAGGTATTTTAATAGAAGAATTAAGTAAAATAAACATCACCCAATATACAGTCAGGAATCCCCGGATGCAGGTCGCCTTGATTAATGTTATTATCAGTCATTTGATAGTAATGAATAATTGAAAGATATTTAAATAGAACAATTAAGCAAAATAAACATCACCCATTATATATTCACGAGTCCCAGAAACACAATGACCAAAGCATAACTATGGACAGCATCACTATAAATAGAATTACAATGTCATCTCCGCGTCATAAACATGAACAGCATTATTCTGGGCATCATAATTTTGGACAGCATCACATTGTCATCACATGCGACATGTGCTCGAAGATCATGCACATGGACAAGTATCATCATGTCACCACCATGTTATCACCACATCATTACCATGTCACCACGTCATCACCTGCGACATGTGCTCAAAGATCATGCACATGGACAAGCATCACCATGTCATCATCACATCATCACCTGGGACATGTGCTCAAAGATCATGCACATGGACAAGCATCACCATGTCACCACCACATCATTACCACATCATCACCTGGGACATGTGCTCAAAGATCATGCACATGGACAAGCATCATCATGTCATCATCACATCATCACCTGCGACATGTGCTCAAAGATCATGCACATGGACAAGCATCATCATGTCATCATCACATCATCACCTGCGACATGTGCTCAAAGATCATGCACATGGACAAGCATCATCATGTCATCATCACATCATCACCTGGGACATGTGCTCAAAGATCATGCACATGGACAAGCATCATCATGTCATCATCACATCATCATGTCACCACATCATCACCATGTCATCATCACATCATCATCTGGGACATGTGCTCAAAGATCATGCACATGGACAAGCACCACCATGTCACCACCACATCATCATGTCACCACATCATCACCATGTCATCATCACATCATCACCTGGGACATGTGCTCAAAGATCATGCACATGGGCAAGCATCATCATGTCACCACCACATCATTACCACATCATCACCTGGGACATGTGCTCAAAGATCATG